GAAAGAGTGTAGAAATGATCCATAACTTGCAAAACATTTTTCGTTTCCGGGGGGCCGCGGCGTAGCGTGACGAGGTGTGCGCGCCGGGCGCGCGGGGTACGCGGGGCGCGAGCGCGAGCGCGGCGCGCGCTGTGTGGCGCGATAACGCGGGCCGCCGCGAAGCTAAGCAAATTTAATGTTTGAAAGAGAAATAATGTCAATTGATTTTATTTCGTTTTTAAAAAGGTAATAATGTCAATTGACTTTATTGCGCACCAGGGTGGGAAATAAAGTCAATTGACCTTATTTCCGTTGATCTTATTACCTGTCACCAATACATCCACTTTACCAATGGCCTTAAATGAAATCGAATTATCGGCGAGACCAATGGATGTTTTGGTAGGTTGCAACTGTCCCCATTTGTACTTCTCATAAAATGTTTGTGAAAGGACTGTGACTTCGGCTCCACCATCGAGTAAAACCGGATGAGACTGGTTGTTAACCATAACCGTGAGATAATCGCGACAATCGTTCGGCACATTATATGTCAAGCATTTTTCTGAGACAAAGAAAACATCACGGAGTAGTGGTGGGTTAACTTTGTTGTCTCCGTCTTGATTGTGATTAGGGACTGAAGCTGAAGTAGGTTTGGTAATTGGTGGTGTTCGTTCAGAACATTGGGTTGATGGTTCTTTGCCATCCCTTTGAGTTTGATTATACTCGTTAAGAATCAGAGTAGAATTATTACTGGAATTCGGGACTGAAGATTTGTCGATTTGTAGAGGGACTTCGGTAGAGTGCGGATTTTAGAGACAAAGGATTTAGATAAAGTTGTGGATTCTGAGTACGATGGACCACTATTCCCAATCGACTCCCTTACGCGTTTTTTGAACACGGGCATTGATCAGATGTAACCCCTGGTCGTGTACATTTGTAGCAGATCACCCTATTCGGTTGCGCTCGACACTTTTTGAAGTGATGGCCCCACACGAGACATTTTGCACATCGTACATTTTCGTCGCCCTCAACAACGAAAAATGGGTCGACGATAGTTCCTACTTTCTTATCATTCCCCTTTGGATTTTTGTCATTTTTATAATCCTCGGTTTCGAATACCTATGTTTCTGAGATACTTTAATTGGTTTCTTTTGCTTGTTCAAGTATGCACATTCCCTGTCATCGGAGTCGGACCCAGGAAAAGAAGCGGTATATTCCGAATGTGAAGAATCATCCGGTGGATCGAGTTCACGCAGATGATCGGATAAGGTACCAATGATGATATCGAAGTGGTCCCGTTCATCCAGACCACAGGAATTACCCTGCAATTGGAATGTCAAGTCATCGATATGTTTCAGCAGTGTTTGCGAACGTGGGTCGAATTTAATCTGTGCATATGACATTATTACTTGGGCCCGAGGATGTTTGTTGAGGAAACGAGCTCGAAGTTTCGTGCAAAAATCTTGATAATCTCTGTAGTTCCTCAGTTCGGTGAAGTACCATTGTCGAGCGGCCCCCGTGAGTGTGGGCACCAAACGCGTAACCAATTCGTGGTCAGGTACTCCAATCTTATATCGAAATGAGCCAATAATAGCCAAATAATCTTCAACCGATAGAAATTTTTCGTTCACATGAACGCCATCGAATTGAGCACGTCCCATCCATGATGGTAAGGTTCTGAATTTCCTATCCATTGCATCCGCTTGGCCAGTTTCGTCGAAAATAGTGGCTTGATTTAGTCGTGATTGTGGTGGACCGGATAGCGAATATTTCGGATATAAATGAAATGGTTGATTAATTGGTTCTTGGATATGTGACGTTCTAAGACCACGGTAGGTATTGATCGTTTGAGTTTGTGAGGTTGAAGGACCACCCAAAGAACCATGCAGGGGATCCACCGAGGGTGGTATCCAGGTCGTTGGCATGGTTTGGTTCATATCACGAACGTCAGGAATTTGTGTCTGCAACTGAATCCGATCACGGATCATTTGCTGTTGCATCTGTGTTTGGGCTCTCAGCAACTCAGACACCATTACAGACAGTTGGTGTAATGAGGGTGTTGGTTCCGTTCCGCCTGACACTGAATTGAGAACGGCTGGTTGAGCATTTGAATTAACCGTACTGGTGGTCAGGGTATACCGTGGTTCAGTTGCCTGAACCGAAGTCGGTATATTCTGGTTTGGAATCGAATCTGGTATGGTTAAGGGTAAATATTGTGATGGAACAGTATTCTGAGTTGAACTCATCATTCCCCGTTCGTTCTCAAAACCATGGAAGGTCGAGTTCAAACTTAATTGGGGATCGCACGTCGGGATTCCCGTATTCGGTGAAGACATCCGAAGCTCACGAATCTTCGACTGAAAT